CCCCAAAACCCCAAAACCCCAAAACCCCAAAACCCCAATAGCTTTATGAAATATTGAGTATTATTCATCATGAACTGATCCCATCACTGAGCCCATAACCGATTGACTTTGTCTTTGTGATCCCATTTTCAATGGCTTTCCTTTCACGTTGTTCTTGAGCCTTATAGCTGCATAATAGCTCTCCAGATCCTCTTGCTGTTTCATCTGTATTTCTTGGGAGTAAAGATTTTGGTTGTAAATAGCATTTTCTAAATGTTCAGATGCTTCTTCTATACAAGTCTCAAGCCAGTTTTCATCATCACTTGTTGGTTTAATATCGTTGTCTTCCAGCTCGAGCTTGATATCCTTCCAGATCTCACCAGTCTTCAAGTAAGGGTATAGTTGGATGATCTCCATCCTTTGTTTCTCTGTTGGTGTGAGCTCATGTAGGTCGAATCCAACTCTGTAGAATATTCAGAAAATTGTTGACCTGATGTCATAACTATGAGCTACATCCAGCATCATCTTGTTGATATAGGACTCTGAGAAGGTCTTCTTGTTAATCTTATTCGAAGCATCAATAGCTGCTTGCAATCTCTTGAATCCTTTAGTATTCTGAGTATGCACTGAACCCATTTGAGACTGCATTGCTGACATCTGTGAGGCAGGGTTTGAGATAATGGATCTTTGAGAATGCCTGCTTCCCATTCCATCCATATCTTGGGACTTCCTTGATTCAGCAAGTCTACTTCCTTCTCCTTCAACTATTTCCTTCTCTTCCTCTTCCAGTTTTCTGACATGGTAGGAAGCTTCTGGGAACAGAGGTCTATCCAGTGACGTAATGATTCCATTCTCGTATTGAACTTTATACCTTTTATCCTCAGCTTCGAACAGCTGGATCAGCAATTGAGATGCACTAATAGTCGTCTTAGAGCTATTCCATTCTACAAAGTATTTGAAAACTCTGTCATTCTGAAGAATTGTACAGATAGAGCTAAGTATTAGCCTTCTGAGGCATTCATCACTTTCCTCGAGTAAATCAAGCAGGACATAGACGCCTTCAATTTCGAGGAAGTGGATCTCAGACCTCTTGTTTCCATAAACTGCAAAGTTGAGGCAGTCAAGCACAGCTAGAAGGAAGGTTTTGTTGTTCCCATTCTGGTCAACCTCCCCTATCCTAAGGTTATCCTTGATTATCTCTATTCCTCCTTTTCTCCTGAACTCTTTCTGATTGGGTCTAGTATTGTTACAAATATTGGAAATGATGTTGAAGGAAAGCTCTCTCAAGTCGAGAGAATTATCGCGAACGTTTTGGATAATATCGAGAAGAATCTCCATGATTCCTCCCTCAGAGAAATCCTTCTTGAAGTAATCGTATTCTGAAGTGTTAAGCAGAGCTTTCAAGCAAGCATGCTTCCTATCATAGTCAGAGTAGGTAGATATGAAGTTAATAAGGATTGAGTGCCCATCTCTTGCATGGAAATGCTCAGGCACTAAGGGAATCAAATTAAACACTATTGATAAGGCATGCAACTGAATCTCCTTAATCTGTGGAGGCTGCCACCTTTGGTTTAACAGAGAAGTATCATTAGGATCAACATACATCATCAGTGCAGAGGTTACCTCTCTTGTAGTAATGATCTCATGAGCCATTGAATTATTTGGATCTCTGACAATGTAAAGAATTCATGTCCACAGAAGTTTCTTAAATTCTACATCTTCATCTCTGGTTGTAAACATTGATTTTGAAGCTGCTTCACTTCCTTCCCCAACAAATTTTACAGTTGAGTTGAGCTCATCGTGAGTAGCATAGTAGCAAATAATGTCTAAGAAAGAGTCAGTCTCTTCATTATCATCAGTAGTTTCCTTCTCAGTAAAGTATCTGTGACTCTCTGGGCAAGTGACTACATAATTAATCAAAATAACAAGCTCATTCCTGAGTCATTTATCATCAAGCTTGTATCCTTCCTTGAGGACTCTTTCGAAGATCCTTCTTAGGGCAAGGACTATCTCTCCTTCCGTAGCCATTGTTTTGACAGCGTCGTTGCCAACGACCTCAATGATGTTCCAAATGGCTTCACTAGAGATTCTAACAATATAGGATCTGAAATCTGGCGCATCAGCCATTAGCAAGACCAAGTCCTTCAGAACTCCCATTGAGCTAAATTTCAGTGAGTTTGGTTCATAAAGACTACAGCTCGCTAGTGCTTCAATCAACAAGGTAATAATATCCATTCCCTTCTTATTCTCAGCAAGAAGAGTCACTAGGGTTTCTGGGACTTCAGAACCTGCGATACCGATCAAGTTCCTAGTCCCATTTTTATACAGTCGGCTCTCAGTGCCATACATGGCTTTCTCAGCTTCATCAGCTTCTTTCTCTCTGAGCTGTCTGACACCATAACTAGCGAACTCAGTGATCAGGTTGGCGATCTCCGCTGTTATTTGATCATAACCCATACTCCCATCACTACATTCAAACTTCAGTAGTGGACATAGGGAATTAAACAGCTTTGGCAGTAAAGGTACGTGATTATTCTCATCACTACACTTAGCCTTCTTGAATGGGATCTTAAGCAGCTCCAAGAAGTTACCAAGGGCTGGAATCAATTTAAATTTGCCATTCTGAAACCCAACGTGGATCAGGTGTAGTATCTTACTGATCTCTGGAATATCCCTGTAGAAGAATCCCTTCCCCTCTGAATTGTACCGCTTACATAGCTTGTTAATGGCAGCGGCATGTCTATCACTGAGACTCTCCGTGTGCTTATCTTCAAACAGATTAATAATTTTCTCAAGATTCATCTTCTATAAGAATTATTATTTTATTTCTAAAAAATTTAAATAAGTTGGGGTTTTGGGGTTTTGGGGTTTTGGGGTTTTGGGG